CGGAGGTGGGGAAGAGACAGAAATCTTTAATAAATAAATAAAAAAAATTAAAAAAAAAACCTAACTGAAGATAGTAGATAGATAGATAGATGATAGATAGATAGATAGATAGATGATAGATAGATAGATAGACAGACAGACAGACAGACAGATAGATAGATAGATAGATAGATAGATAGATAGTGTCAATTCTCATACAATGTAGTGTTTGGCTTAAGTAGGTGGAACAATTCCACATTTCTTTCTTGTTCTTGCCAAAAGTAATTAGTCTACCAGAAACTTCCACGCTTCAGTTAGTTTTATATAGAGTCTTCATTTGGGGGGAAATCTAAGGACTGTATGACAGCCAATTAAATTGAAAAACTAATCTTTTTTTCTTTCCCATCCAGGGTCATAGAGAATGAGGAAATATGTATTCTCTGATACCAGCAGTAGGCCACAGGAGTTGATTGTTGGCTGACAGCTTCTGCCTTGCAATCCCCTGTTCTACATCTTGGGTCTAGAAATCTGGACAAACCAGTGCACCCCTCAAGCTCTTAGACTGTCCCTTCTGATATGAGAGTATAAGGTAGAGTGCCTAGGAGAGAGAGAGTTTGGAATTAGATCTGGGACTTGAACCTGACTATGAACTAGCCATTCAAGGTTGAATATGTCATTTCGAGGCATGACTTTACAACTTGTGTTCTAAGCACTTAGAAGAAACTTAAAGAAGTGTGAACAGTTAATGGTTGGTATTGGTCACAAGTAACACATCTCAGTGAGGTTTTTAAAGCCAGTTAGAGTCTCGGAAGGACTAATTATCCTAAGCAACTCCTGTTGAATTCTTTTAGTGCAAAAAAGTATACAACTCACTTTTCCTAACCTCTCTCTGTGTAGATTTGTCCACAGAGAAAATCTTAATGTACAGGTACTTCATTTTATATTTTATAAGATTGGAAACCAAGACCCAAAAGGTGACATAATCTGCCTTGGTGTCACACATTGAGGTAGTTAGTTATTAGCAAAGTTGATGCTGGCCCTTTAATTCTGATAGTGTCAATTCTCATACAATGTAGTGTTTGGCTTAAGTAGGTGGAACAATTCCACATTTCTTTCTTGTTCTTGCCAAAAGTAATTAGTCTACCAGAAACTTCCACGGAGTAAGCATAGAGGGCTCTTTCCATCAATGTCATACCTTGGAAAACTATCTCTAGTGCAGATAACAGAAAGAATAAATATTTTTGTCGGGAGAAAAAAATGGAGACTAAGGTCAAAGGGAATCAAGTAATGGGTTGAGTCAGAAGAAAAAAACGACCCCCTTTCCATCCCAAACAGTCTCTATACAGAATTTGTATAAATATGGAAAAATTAAAAGCAGCAATCTCTCTCTCTCTCTCTCTCTCTCTCTCTCTCTCTCTCTCTCTCTCTCTCTCTCTCTCTCTCTCATACACATATGCATGTGTACTATTTGTGGTAAGTTTCCATACTCAAATTACTGAGAGATAAAAGTGAGTTGAAGTGGTATGTGGACTTGAGGTGATGTGTTTTCCTTTTATTCCTCAGTGATTCAGGATATAGTCAGTTGAGAAATCCCAGTACAACCCAGTATTCGTCTCTACCAATTTTATTTGTGATTATCAAGAGAGGCAAATAGGAGGGGCTGCAGAGGTGTCAGAGGTTAGGGTGCTTACTGGCCTTTGAGGGTACCCAAGTGCCTGCCATTCATTCCCCTTCACCTGTATGGCAGCTCTCAACCTTCTCCATTTTCTGAGAGATCCAATGCTTTTCTCTGACCTCTGTGGGCACACATGTGTTACACATGTGTTCATACAGCAAAGCATACACATAAAATAAAAATAAATACCTTTAAAAACCAGGCAAACAGGAAAGTTAATCAGTACCTGAGTCTGGTACTTGTCATATACAAGGGTCTATAAAGAAATGTTTCATTGTAAAATGGAAAAAACAAATTAAACAAAACAAGTGGTATATTAGACCTTTGAACTAACAGTGATGCTTTTAGGTGTAAAGTGGCACAGGAACCACTCTCTCTATCACAGAGACTCTGTGGGTATCCTCTCCTCAGCACTTAGGTGGAGGGCTTTCCTTGAAAGGGCAGTCTGAGTGGTTTTTGGCATCCACAGGTCTCAGTACAGATGACTACACAGATTGCCTTCTTCTCATACTTGCAAATTGAAAGAATTCCGTTGAGAGTGAAAGAAAACTTGGTAATTACTAGGTCTTAGAGCTCACCAAGAGCAGTGGCAGTTAAACTTTAACCAGCAAGAGAATCACCTGGAGAGTCCCTACATATGGGATTTCTGATTAAGGAATCTGGCCAGGGCCCGAGAACCTGGCCTTTCTGGGTTCCCAAGTGAGGCTGATGTACTTGATCTGGGGCAGCATGCTAGGGGCTAAGACACTGCCTAAAAGCAGGAGGTCTGAAACTCCATGACATAGTATAATCACTTCATGAGATGCTTACAAGTCCTGATCTTCAGGCCTTACTATTAACTAATACCCAAGAGGAAGGTAGGAGAGGGAAAAGGTTAGGAGGAGGCCATTTAAAAGTATTTCATGATTTTGAAATGAGCAACCTAATTTAAAAACCCTGATTTAAGCACAAACCTCCCTCTTATAGAATTGAGGCATTTAAAGACTAAAAAAAAGTGACTCATACAAGATCCCAGAGTGAGTTAGTGACTTAGCAGAGAATAGAATCCGGGGTGCTTTTTCTTCTCTTTCATTTCCACCACTCTGCATTTACCAAACCCATGTCAGCTCTCACAGGCTCATAAATCAAAGCAAAAAACGAAAGCCATGTTTAAACTGAAGTTTTGAGGAATCTATTCTTGCTTTCCGCTATTGTTTTATAAAGAAATCTTAAGTGGCTACAAATTTATAGAATTTTACCAGCCCAGACAAGTGAGGAGATGGACAAGACAGGGTTATGGAATATTTTCATGGAAAGACTATGTACTTAAGTTTTAAGTACATTCTCAAACACAAACCAAGTGCTCCCACTGAGTCCTTAAACAGATGGTCTTCATCTCCCATTCAGTGAGGGGCAACATTTGGCCTGAGACGTGTGCATTCATCGCGGGCATTTAAAGGGAAGTGCTGGTAAAGTGTTTGAAAGTGGTCTGTCTCTTAAAACGATTAAAAGTTTCCTTCCAGTATTTGGATTCCATTAATGATTGGTTTAGTAAATATTTTTGAGTACATAGAGTAGAGATAGTGTCTTATATCATCTTAGAACTGAATAAAGAGCCAAACAAAACTTGCAGAAACCATGGAATTCGGTATTTTCATCAGACAGAAGAAAAAGGAGTGCTCAAGAAGGGAAGCCAATTTACCTCATATTAGTGAGTGGGCTGACTAGGGCTAAATATGAAGCATCTGCATCCTGGGCTATTGTTCTTTCCATTATTCTGAACATTCCTACCAGCATTTCTTGTACATAGGAAGTATTACATAAAGTTTGTTGTTTGACTGCACAGACTCTTTATGCTCAAATTAGTCAGTTAAGTCTCCACCATGATTTAATGCCTAAAATAGAAGTTAGACAAATCTTTGACAGAACACAAGTTGGATCGACTGATTTGGGATTATATTCCAATCTCCCATCTCACCACTCACATCTGAAAGCCTTCTTTTTCCTCCTATGCAAATTGACAATGACTGTAGGATTGTGATTATAGAATGGGGCGACATGAATTAGTGACACTTTATTATAGACTTCTGTCCGGTAGACAGAATGCTATGTATGGTTTGAATCTTAAATATCATCTAACAGTTCATATATCAAAGGTTTAGCTCCCATTGAAGCAGAGTGCAGAGGTAGGGGCATTTGAGAGGTGATTGGATGATTAAGGCTTTGATAACATAAAGGAATTAATATATTCATGGATTCATAAACTTATTGAGCTCTGGAGAATGGATGCTACGATGAAAGTGAAGCCTTCTCTTTGCTTTCAAGATGACATAAACATCTCTGCTCTACTTTATGCTCTCTGTTGTGGTGTTCTGTTCTGCCTGTAGCAATGGTCAGTAGGAACATGTCCAAGTGATAATATTCTAAAGTTGTGAAACCAGAGACAACATAACCTTCCCCTTGATTTGCCTCAGTTCGTTCCTTCCTTCCTTCCTTCCTTCCTTCCTTCCTTCCTTCCTTCCTTCCTTATTCCTTCCTTCCTTCCTTCCTTCCTTCCTTCCTTCCTTCCTTCCTTTTTTTCTTTCTTTTTGGTCATAACAACAGATAAGTTACACATACCCACCACCACCACCACCCCAACCACTATTGACCTCATCACAAGGTATATTTATTATAAGACATATATCTCAAGAATAAAAAGAAAATGCTAGAAAAGTGCTTAAAAAGTAAGTGTTGATGACAAATATCGTGACCATCTCCTTTTCATCTACAAAAGCAGTTATGAACACCTACAGTTGTAAGATACTCGACGATCAAAAAAGTTAGGAACTCTTTTCTACCTAAGGAAATAAAACAGAAGGATGGTATCTAGAGGTATTCAAAGTCTAGACATATTTTATGTGGCTGCCTAGGTGTGTACCCAAGTTCCAGCGAAGTTGTTACGACATTACCATTTGCGTCCACTGGAGAAGCAATCAGAATGTGCAAATCTACTTCAATTTTATATAAAAAGAAATCATTAGCAAAGTTCAGCTCTCTCCTTTTCATTAGTAATAAAAGACATTTTCATTGCCATTCACATTCAACTCCCGTGTTTGCTGTTGGAAATACTAAATTTTGAAGAGATAAGTGAATTTCACAGAGAAGAGATATCTCTACTCCTGACACCTTTATTATTCATGGCCCTTCCCATTGTACCAATTCTGCCATATTAAAACAAATTCCTCACTCAACACTGGGGTGCAATCTCTAGAAGTAAGTTTGACTGAGGTGAACTTTCTCCTTCTAGTCCAGGATTTTCTGACTTTCCCCACATCTCTCCACAGCCCATCAATTATATCAGCTCATGCTAGGAGAAGGCACTCACATGTCCACGAATCTTCTGTTGAGGTGCAGTAATGAGGCTATGTCGTCCTGAAGAGGAGGGTCCCGGAGCACTTTATACTGTAGGGGTTTACACTCCATACAGAGTGGGCTGTCTGAAGTGGAGGTCAGCATGGCTGCATCAATCTCCAGGTGTTCATCAAGAGTATAGATCTGGATGCCATATACCTCCTCACTCACTTCTCGGAGTCTGATTGTCAGTGGGATATCACAGAACACATTTTGAGGACCCAAAGAGATGTTCTTTCCACTGACAGTCAATAGTTTGATGTCATTGACGGCTCCACTAGAATCCCAGTCAGTGGAGACAAAGGTCACCCAGATAGTCAGAGATTCAGGGACCAATGGGTACTGGAATTCCAGCTCAAGGTGGCAGCCTTGTGGCTCAGGACAAGCTGGAGGGACTGTGTGTGGATTGACTGCTGAGTTTGGACTCCAGGTTCTGACACTGGATTTACATGGCTGTTCCACATCTGGATGACCTATGGAGAAAGAGATGCAAATGAGTTCTCGCTTCATTCTAGTTTTCACAGTGTCCCCTAGACCCCAGAAAAGATCTGTGTGATGAGAACTTAGAGATAAAAGAGTGGATCTCAGAGTCATGGATAATCTGCTGTATATAGAGTTCTCAGCTCGTCCTTAACCCTACAAAACAGAGCCCAGATGAGTCACTGAAGAGAAGTTCAAATGTCTGAATACTGAGCTCAGCTTTCCTTCCTAAGCTTCCATTCAGAGGCTTTGATGCCTTGTATAGAAATAAAGAAGAGATTCTTTCTACGAAGACTTTCTCTGTCCCATTAGCTTGTTTAATTCTTGAGCGGATCCATCTCTTAAACGAAACAATGAAGGTTCAAAAATATAGAAAATAGAAACAACAATAACAGCATAAACACCCCCACTCTGATTCTTAGGAGAAGAGGCTATGGCTGACAATACAATCTGAAATTCTCTCTTCACCAACAGTCTCTCTCTCTCACTTAAGCAAATAGAACTCATCAGCATAGTGAGTTATGATTACTTTTCTCAGCTGCACAGAAGAGGGCCTCCAGGTCTAGATGTGACCTCAGGAGGGAAGAATTTAGAAGTTGCAGCAGATTGAGATCCGTGGAGATGAAGCAGCCTTTCTCTGAGGAAAAGTAGCAAGAGCACATTTTTTTTCTTCTTTCACTCCACTGTCCTTGAGTCAAAACAGACAGAACTCAGAGAATCTCAGTGGTATGGAATGACCTCATGTAAGGGAAGGGAGGACGATAGATAAAATGGTTTCAAGTCTGACTTGGAGGTCTGTCATTCCCAGTTCAATTTCCTCTGAGGCTCTGTCTGAGAGTAAAGGCCTGTCTTGCTCTCCTCTTCTGATGGGTATTTTCTGGTGCTTCTGTAAGTCTAAACAGGTTGGATCAACATCAGCGATACCAGTGGGACTCTAATCTTAATGATCCCTGCATTTAACAAGGACTGTATGATATAGACTTTTGTTCAATTGATCTATCTCCTGATATTGGGGAAAATGACTGTCAATGGTAGGAAGCCACAGGAGAACAAAGATGACAAATATGTTTGGTTCATCATTCCTGTTTTCTTGTTTATCAGCAGAGGGACCAAATGCTTTCCAAAAGATAAGGTAAGTCTGATCAAAATTTTCAAATAAGTACAAGGAGTAGAAATTTTAGCAAAGTTTCTACTTGTCTTGTTATTAGGGACAGATGCTTATATATGAAAAAAGGACCACAAGGGTCACAAATTAACACTTATTACCAAGAAGGACACCTCTTTCTAATAATACAAGGCTTCATACACCAACCAGACTCTTTGTGTATGTACTGCATAAAACACATTGCATGTCTTAGTGTTTTGTATCCTGGCAGCAAGTCTATAGCGCTGATTCTATTAAATACATTCTACAGAAGATAAAACCTAGCTTCAGATGGCTAAGCAATTGTCTTACAGTAATAGAACATTATCTGATATTGCTGGTACAAGCTGTGTGACAGACTTTGAAGCAATGATAGTTGAATTTAAATCTCAACAGTTCAACTCCAGTTGTGTTACCAACTTCATTGTTACCCACTTCTAAGGTAGTTGTAAAAAGGAAAAGGAATGAGATCTTTAATAAATCTCACAAATATATTAGTCATGAGAAGGAATGAGGAGCTAAGAAAAACATCTTTGAGAAAGCAATACAAGCACAGGCAATGGTGGAGAAAGAATGTGAGCTAGTAAGACTTACAGTTTCTCAAAAAGAGTAGTAAGTGTTGACAACAGAGTAAACAGAATCCATATTAGGAAGTGTTTTGTATATCACATTATAGGGCATGAACTGTACTCTGAGATAGATGAAGAACTCCTTGTAAATTTTAGACAAGTGAATGACATAACATCTGTTGTTAAAAAACACTGTTTAGAGACTAGATGCTATCTATTCATCAATTGTTCATTTGTCTATTCATCCATCTGTCCATCTATCCAGCTGCCAATCCATCATCCATCAACCCATCCATCAACCTGTCCCTCCGTCTATCTATTCTTCCTCTTTCCAACCATCTATCCATTTACCCATCCATCCACCTACCAATCAGCCATCCATCTATTCATATGTCTATCCATGCATTGCAATAATAATTATAGAGTTCTGGGTATTTATAGTATATTAAGCTAGTCCCTGGGTAGTAGATTTTCAGATGTTCTCTTGGTGTTCATGTAGCTTCTAGTCTGATGAGGCCAGTAAAGATATTGCAGAGAGTACACATCTATGGATCAGAAAAAAAGGGACCATCAGAGAGCATGAGTTCAAGTCCCTAAAGAGTAACAAAAAGTGTCCTGATTAAAACTGATTGGTGAGACACAAAGAAGGACTGAGAATAGGAAGCAAATAGTGGAAGGAAGGAAGGAAGGAAGGAAGGAAGGAAGGAAGGAAGGAAGGGAGGGAGAGAGGGAAGAAGGAGATAAAAAAGTGACAAAAGAAAAAGGAAGAACTCCAAAGAGAGTTACAAAGATCTATTAGTTCCTTATGAACACAATATCTTTATGTATATATAGTGACTACATGAGAAAACTCATTTTTATATAAGCAGTCCACTATGAATAAGTCATGTACTAGGAATAAGACACACATATAGAAATATATTTACACATATTTATGCTGACCCAAATTTACATTTATGAAAATCTATACAGGTATCCCTAGTGTGTTTAAGTAATATACCCTGCGCTGTTGACATGAACATAGATACAGAGGCAAGATTTTCTTTAAAGCATGCTTTAGCACACCTGAAATATTCTAGGAAGAACAATGGAGACAGCACTCATACAAACAAGAAATAATGAAAAAAGGTGGTGCCATGTGCCCATCTCTCATGGAAAGCCCAACACTTGGAATAAATTATTGCTTGCCTAAGTGATTATAAGTGGGCTTTAAATCAGTCAGATTCACCCATCTAGTTTCTGTTTTATAAATGTAATGTAGTAAATACTTCAAGAACTATGTATCCATGAAACATAGGTTTTGCTTTAGAAATAAGAGTACAGATGTTTTCTGTGAGCCGAGATGAGATTTTTTCATTTGTTTTTGTTTCTGTTTTGTTTTCCTACTGTGGAGGAAAGGTAAATAATGCAGTGGATAGTCAACAGATTTCTTCAAAATGAAAATCTTTATTATACTAATATGGAGTTAAGAAGCTCACTATAGGTTGACTGTCCATTCTGTGAGTAAGATACCGTGTTGGGAGTATTTTAAGAACTTCAAAGGCACAGGGTAGTTGGCAGCAGCAGAGTGAGGAACACCCCTTTTAATTCTGTCCCATAGCTTTTCTCAACCCCACACATTTATCTGGCATTGCTCATGAATTTGGGAGTTTTCTGTTAGTTTAGGAAGTCCCAAAACTTAAACACACAAAGATAAATAGGTTGAAAATGAGTTGGGAAATAAATTATAAAGTTTGACCCAACGAACAGTTTATTTCTTCAAGAATAGTAAAAGAGTCTGTGCCAAATGGATCACAAAGCACGTGATAGGATTCCGTAAGCACAGAGCGGTGTCTCCTCCTAGCAGGAACGCAGCAAATGGATATAGGAATTTCCAGGCAGTGCTTGGGAGCGAGTAACTCAGACATCCAGGGGCCTCCACACTTGTACTTGACTATGAACTGCATGCCGCCCTTAAAGGGAGCCAGGGCAAACCAGGAACAGGCTTCGCTAACGGACACATTTGGTTTGCATGGAGGAGTGTGTTGGTGTCTGGAAACAAGTAGTCGAGTAGTTATTCAAACAAGATGATTTCAGCTGAGGACGAGCCCTGCAGATTCTACCTCTCAGTTATCTTACAACACTGATTTTCTCCCTTCTCGCTGCCTCGGACCCTTGGCATCTCTGTAGTATCACCTGTGATCACCTTGGTTCTGACAGCGGTGAAAAGCTGTTCCCTTCTCTCCACAACCTTCGTCCTTTACCACATTTACCGCTGAGCAGATAGCACGTTCTCTATAACCTGCGCGCGCACCTATTTCGCCCACTTTTTCTAATTGTAAAGCTCTGTCGGAGATATTTTTAAGTGACTCTTGATGTACAGGTACCTAATGTGGTATACAAACCAACCATCTCTTGACAGTAAATCTTGCAAATTTTACTTTAAAATAATTCTGCTGTATATATATAATGATATTTATTAAAGGCATAAGGAAAATTTCAAATTCATGATTGTCTGATTTTATATAAAGTAGTAAATATTAACTGATTGTTTGGTATTACAAGATGTACAGTATCTTCAATAGCTTTGTAGAGCTGGTCAATCTTGGATCTGAAGCATTTTAAGGCAACACCCACTAGCACTAATGGTGCAAGGACAAGGATGTACAAAGTGCAGGTGTGTTTAGTGATGTTGCACAATGCAACACGGGTTTATGTTTCCAGAGATACCTCAGATTCGTTACACGTTTGCAAGTTAATTTTTGGCGGTTAAAAGTTCTGATGTGCAACCCTTCTATGGAGTTCCAACCTAGAGTTCATGAAGTGGTGATCTACCCTGACCCAAGAACATCACATCTTTTCCCTCTTAACAGTAGGAATGCAAAGCCATTCTTATGTGGGTACTACCCACCTCAACAGTTCAGTACCTGTTACCCTCACCACGCTGCTCCTGCTGGGAATCCACATAAATGCACACCTCATTATTAGGAGCTTTTGCTTGGGTGGCTTATGTCTACTTGTACACCATTGCATATCTATGAATGGAGGCATTGTACAGGTACAAAATGTGTATATAGTGTGCATTCCTTTATCTGTCAGAGGATTAATAGCATTTCATGCTCTGCAGCCCTGAAAAGCTCCACTGTATTCCCAGGAGAGAATGGGAAAGGAATAGCAAATGATGTCATAATAATTACAAAAATAATTCTGACTTTGAAGACACTTTGGACTATACCTAGGAAACTTCCCTTCTTTAAATTTTAAAATTGCTTCAGTGCTTAAATGTGTCTAGTGACATTTAGTGGGAAGCACAGTTCTGTAGTCTTGGGTGAAGTCTCTTGTTTACTGGGTCTTTAGCCCTTGACTTATGTGAGCATGGTCTATTTACACCACATGGTCACTGCCCATTCGCTGACCTCACACCTAGTGAATAGCCAGCCTAGCCTCACCTGTGCGCCCAAGACTGTTCCCAGCATATACCCCCATGGCATGTACACAGGAAGGTGGGAACATGTTATGCAAGTCTGCAAAGTGTTCACAGGTATCAGAGATGTGTAGATTTGTCTGAGTGGGTACCATTTAAGTGGGGAAAATTATGTTTACAAATTAGGAAGAACTTTCTAAAAGGTTAGGGAGTGCCACAGTGAAGAAGATCATTGAAGAAATTCCTTCACCAGATGGGGATTGGAGCCTGATGACCTCAGTGTCCCTTACAGGTTGGTAGTCTGTGACTCTGCGAGGCTGAACTGATGGCTTCTCCCAGATATTGCTCTTGCTTTATATTCCAGAAAGATTTATTTAGAGTTCCCACATTCAAATCTCATTTTAAGCTACTTTAGAAAATAAAGTTTAGGACCATCATTTTCAACTTCAATTTCCTCTCTGATCTTTTTCCTTTCCTTTAGTTCATCTTTAGCATTCTTTCCAACCCTCTTTCTAAACATATAGAGGGTAGAGAATGAATTCGCATAGATGCTCCGCTAGGTATAGGTTCTGCTCCTTCTGATGAACTGATGTCATGTTGTCGCACCCAATGATGGTGGACATCAGCTGACTTGCACTGGAGTTTTGTGGAACTGGCAGGGGCCAGGGCCAATGTGTGAATGTCCCAGGGCAGGGAAAGGGAAATGTGATATGAGAAGGAAGTAATGGGCTCTCTGCCAGTCTGGATTCAGGGCTAAGTGGCAAAGTGCCAAAGTCAGGGTTTGACCAAAGTTGTTCTCTCTGTTTCTATAGGACACAGGAGTTGTTTTCTGTGCATATACAACACAAAGATGCTCTGAGGAGGCCCAGTCATTGTCCTCTTGGGACGCCTGAGAGTGTCCTCTGTACATGGCAAGATCTGGCCGTGAGTGGAGAGGTAACTAACAAAAGTTTACATGGGAAACTTTTTACATCTAGCCTTTGTAATACCCAAAGAAGGGTCAAAGACGATTGATGCTTTGAAGTCACTCAGTAGCTCTAATGTGACCTGTCTGTGCCAGCAAGCCACTGGAGTCTGTAAGTTATATCAACACATGAATGTATCATGTGGCTTTGATTCTTATATAATATTTTTGTGACTTCATTTCATCATACGTAACACAAGAATAGCATACTTAGAATAGTATATATGCTAAAAAATACTTGTTAAATTAACGAATAGTGTTAAAGACTGATAAAAAGGAATAAAATTTCATGTCCAGGAGGTTATCTTTTGTTTGCCACATTTGTCAATAAACTCTGACTTACCTTCTGCTTCCCGAGGACTCCAGTGCCCTGATGGTCCACAGGGCATCGGGGAAGAGGCATTGAAAGCATACTGCACCAGGATTCTCCCTTCTAGGCAAAGGTCACATGCTGATCCCACTTCTCTAGGAGGCCAAGGAAAGAGGGGAAAGACACCGACTTAGGAACAGTTGAGTGAGCAACTGATGGGACTGGGGCAAAGGCAATGGGGCAGAGGACACAGCCTGTGTTTACTCCCTAACACACTAAGACTAAGAAAATGACATAAATGAAATCCCTCCTATTGCCCAGGATGTTTTGGCAGCTGTCCTGATGATGCATACATTCCTCTGATATCAAGAAGCACAAAACCAATTGGCCAGAAGATCACTACCTGCAGTCATTAATTACATATGGCATAAAAACCTCCACTGAGTATTTTTTGTGTAGTTGTAGGAGCATCTTTTTTCCTTATTTTGTCCTCAGAAATAACCCCTTTGAAAATATTTTCCAGGTATCAAATATTTTCAAGGCATCAGTCTGCATCCCAGGCATTAAACATGAAGAAGGTGTGGTTCCTTTACCAGAAAATGAGTGGGCTAAATGAGATGATGCCTAAGAAACCTCCCAGCCCTCACAGTCTGGGGATGAGTGAGTCACTCACAATTTAATAGTCAAAAGCAGTTTCTTTACTATGCCATCTAACTCATTTTAACAGCTTTCCAGGGGGTGAGCCAATCTCTCAATGGGACCATTCCAAAAAGTGGAGTATTATGGTGGCTTCTCCAACTGTCTGGAGTATCTGGATTCAATCTCCCTCTGGCTACAACTTACTCTAGATTCCTACTGGCTCTCCAAATTTGGCATCTATGGGAGGTGGTTATGGAGAAGACAGAGGAATGAATCTTTTATATTCTCATGGACCTAAAAATCTGCAAATCTGAGTGGCATCTGCTGATATTTCTGGCAACAGAATCTCTAGATGATGTTGAGTAACATCCCAACCAACTCACTGCTTCTCAAAATACAGATCCCTTTATATCCTTTTCAGTCAGTCCCCAAATATGCATCATTTGGCTCCTTGCAAGGAGCCAGAGCTCAAGTTGTAGGATTTCCCCTAACAAGGAAACTCCATAATTCTGGGGTTATAGTCTAGAAAGTATGTGTGTGAACCTCATAGTTGGCCGGTTTTCCCAGGCAGGGGTCAGGAAATCACCACAAACCCCATTCTGTGCACGCCATTCTTCCACTTAATCATTTGAGTGATTCCAACACTCAACGACCCTAACTTCCTTCATCACTCTGGCCTTGTCTCTTTCACACCGAATCACATTATTCCGCATTTGGGGGTTTTACCTGGCTGGTGTTTCTTATCCTTCAAGGTCCACCTTGAATAGCATTTCCTCGATGAATATATTATGAGGCTCTTGAGAGGCAGATCCATGCCCTAGGCTTCCTTTGCTATCTTTCAGCACATAACCCTAATGCTGGCTAGCATATGCAGTCGAATGGATGGATGAGCGAATGCATGTGTGAATGAATATTGGCCACCTAGACACATATATAATGCTCATGGCTAAATTAAGCCAGACCTTCAATCTGCATTGTGAGCTTTCTAAGCACAGGGGTTGAAAAATGTTAAAAAACCCATCAGTAAAAGGTTTGCAAGGACATTAACACTTGGTGAAAATAAGAAATTATATATCTGAAGGTTAGTGTAAATGGAATGGTGGGCAGTTATTATAAAATATGAAGTATCATGCAAAACATACTTGCTATAAACTTAAGTAACCTATAATGCTGTCTTAATACTATTCAGGTAGGCTTCCATAACAAAATATTGGCAGTAGTTTGTGAGTTGCTTTTGGGAAAGGAATTATCTTATTTATATCAATATACTCATAAGGGAACAAGGAAAGTAGAAAAAAGTAGAAAAGGAGGGCAAGATGAGACTGGGAGATGCTTCAGCATTCAGCAGTCCCTTACAGTGTTAGCTTCCATGTGCAGCAACTCGGGTTAGCAGGACTGAAGCTAAAACAGTGACATCATGAATACCCTGGGATGGGTTCAGAAGCTGTGCTGACCTAGACAGCTGCTGACTTTCTCCACTTCTTTAGGCATAATGTGAACTTCGCTGACCTCTTCTCATGTGTCTGGTTCTCAAGAAGTACTCTGATGAGTGCATCACTATCAGGCTGAGAGCAAATGTGATGGGTGGTGTCCTATACGCACACACACACACACACACACACACACACACCTGCAGAATGCTAATGTTGAGAGAGTTTATCTTTCTTTTCTTTTCTTTTCTTTTCTTTTCTTTTCTTTTCTTTTCTTTTCTTTTCTTTATTCTTTTCTTTCTTCCTCCCTCGCTCCTTCCCCCTCACTCTTTCTTTGTCTTTCTTTTTCTTCCTTCCTTCCTTCCTTCCTTCCTTCCTTCCTTCCTTCCTTCCTTTCTTTCTTTCTTTCTTTCTTTCTTTCTTTCTTTCTTTCTTCCTTCCTTCCTTCCTTCCTTCCTTCCTTCCTTCCTTCCTTTCTTTCTTTCTTTCTTTCTTTCTTTCCTTCTTTCTTTCCTTCATTTCTTTCTTTCTTTTTATGCCCCCTCTTTTTTCTTTTTGTGCTGAAACAGGGTTTCTTTGTTAAAACAGTCCTGGCTATCCTGGAATTCTGTTTGAAGATCAGGCTGGCCTCAAACTTACAGACATCCATTTGCTTCTGCCTCCCAAGAGCTGGGATTTAAAGCATGTGCCACCAGTGCCTAGAGAGTTCATCTTTCTTATACAGCTTAGCTATGTAAAAGTTCAAAGATGTAGATATGTTTGTGCTATTGAACAAGGAGCCCAGTACCCACATGCAGTCATTTAAATTTAAACCAAGCAGCACAAAATACATTTTAAAAACTTCTGAACACTGGTGATATTAGTCATAGTTTCAAGTATGAAATGGTCACTATCTTCGTGAATATGACTGCTTGGAAAATGGCTGCTCTCTTGGTGAATGTTGATATGAAATAGTCCCGTTAATAAATAAAGGTTTTTTTTTTTTGAATAGTGTTTCAATAAACTATCCTAGATTAAAAAGAATTAGTTTCCTTTCTTTGCAGCTAGAGTAGTACTAGTATGTATAATCTTTGAGGGAAGAAATTGTTCATTATTTTATGTATTAGATGTGCAGAAGAAAATCTGCCTAAGCAAGGCTAAGTCTCTTCAATCTACAGATCAGAAAAAATAGTTAAAGGAGCAGAAAGAGTGGGTGCATCTGTAGGGTCTTTACACCCTGGGCTCCTAGTTTCTAGTCCAGTGTGCTTTACAGGTTATGTAGCCAATTGTCTGGACAATTGAAGCCACCTAGTCAACACGTTTGCAAGATAGATAAAAAGAAAGGAGTTAGAAAGACCAGGGGTGGCCTTGAATTATTTATTCAGTTGCCCCTGCATGAGGACTCTGTTGTGGGGGAATCTGAATATGTTTTTTTTTTTTAAGGGAAACCCTTATATTCTCTTAGACCACAGATGTGAGAACAGCAGGAGGCCATGAACAGGGCCAGGGGCAAGATGCTGGCATTGATGGATGGTGTGGAAAATACCCAAGGTTTTTCCGAGGGAAGGGGATTTTCAAGTAGCTAAATAGTTCTGGAACCACACACAAGGTAGAAGCTAACATTTCCCAAGTGTGGAGTATGTGTGCTTGGTACATCACGGATGTCATTTGCTGACTTTCCTGCATCACACAGGTAATGCGGGCAAGTTGGCATCTTTTTATGGAGGAGGACTCCAAGGACCACAGAATTGAGAGATCTTGCCCAAAGTCTCAACTACTGGTAGCAATGAAGCTAAGTGTGGCTGGCGGTGGTGTGTGTGTCAGAGAGGGACCATATATCAAAGCTTCTATGCCTCATACTAATCAATTTGTATAACCACAAACTTTTTGCTTATGGGGGAATGACACACGAAGAATATAGTGCCACTTCTTTACAGCAATTTATTGATACTTGTGGACCAACTTCATTTAGATTATGGTTTGCAAAGCTGCTAACCTTAATTAGACACATTTCAAAAATGTCAGTCTGAATTTAGCATGTGATAACTCCATTAGGCATTCTTGCCCTGAACAGAATAACTATTGTATATGCCTCATGTCCTAACTGACAATAGGTTACTAAAAACATATTGATTAAAGCGGCAAGCTGAGAGTACTATGTAATAGAGACACATCTCATTACACAACAATTAACCCTCTAATGGTTTTCCAACAATCAGATGGAATTTATTTAATGGACAATAACTGCTTTATGAAATTTAAATTGAATACATACACAGGAAGCTTCATTTACACAAGTTCCATTTTTAAGTAGAATTGAGGCCAAAGCTTGACCAAAAGTCTGATACTTCTCATCACCACAGAGAAAATAAATAAATCTACAGGCTGCTGGAAGACTTGCTCCACAGTGTCACGTGAGCGTTCCCAAACCCAGCTCAGAGTGCTGCAAGGCCGGCTGAGGCCAGGGAGAGGGAGTTCTGACAGAAGTCTGGGGAGTACAATTCCTTCCTAACAGATCAAACTCTTGCCTGGACACAAAAGGAAGGGAAAGTTCTAGATTCAGGGACTGATAGTGGTGTAGAAATTTAGAGTCCCAATATAATGTGGTATCATTGTATAACATGTTTTTCATTTTAAACTTATTTTAACTCATAGATATTAATTTTGTATGCTTTAAAAACACAAAGTAAAATTTTCATACAGGTTTGTAATGATAAAGTAAGGGTGATTGACAAATCTATCACCACTTATACCTAACAATTTTGTGCATATATGATGAAGTCACTTAAAAATCATTTGAAAATATACAAAGCATTATCATTCATTGTTTTTTTGAAACTGATACCAAAAAGTGATTTTTAAAGACATGATAATAATGCTTTATTTATTTATTAAAGATTTCTGTCTCTTCCCTGCCACCGCCTCCCATTTCCCTCCCCCTCCCTGCAATCAAGTCCCCCTCCCTCTTCAGCCCAAAGAGAAATCAGGGTTCTCAGGAGCAGAAGGAGAGAGAGCATGAGCAAGGAACTCAGGACCGCGAGGGTTGCACCCACACACTGAGACAATGAGGATGTTCTATCAGGAACTCACCAAGGCCAGCTGGCCTGGGTCTGAAAAAGCCTGGGTTAAAACCGGTCTCACTGAACATAGCGGACAATGAGGACTACTGAGACCTCAAGAACAATGGCAATGGGTTTTTGACCCTACTGCACCTATTGGTTTTGTGGGAGCCTAGGCAGTTTGGATGCTCACCTTACTAGACCTGGATGGAGGTGGGTGGTTCTTGGACTTCCCACAGGGCAGGGAACCCTGATTATCATTCATTGTAATATCACTTCAGGCAGTAGACCACTAAAGGTTATTTCTATAGTCTAATTGAAATTATTCCCTTTGAACAACATCTTCATTTCTCACATCCACCTAAATTCACCCTCCTCTGTCAGGAATCTTTGTATCTGTATGCAAGAATTCAGCTTTATAAAATTCCACATGTAGCAGAGATCAGGTAGTGTTTGTCTGTCTGAGGTTGTCTTATTCCAATAAGCATAATGGCCCTCTAGACTCTATGTGTTTTAAATCACAAGGTTTCCCCACTACCTTTTAGCTGGCGAATATTTCACAGTATACACAGGCATTAAAAAATATCTGATGAAGAATATTCAGGTTGTTTCTACATCTTAGTTATCATGAATACTCCTGTACAGGCCATATGGAACAGGTGCCTCTTCTACTGATACATTCGATCTGCTTTCTCCTTTTTCATTTGGGTGTGTTGTACCTGTGTTTGCATTTGTTTTTTGCACTTGAGGGTGCACATATGTGTATGCATGTGTGTGTGTGTGTGTGCGTGCGTGCATGTGCTTTTTGTGTGTGCATAAGCATATTCCTTTTGTGGAGGCTTAAAGCTGATGTCAAGAGTCTTCATTGCCCTTGCATCTCATTCATGAAGGTAGGGTCCCTCAGTCAAGCCAAGGACTGGCTGGCTTTTATGGCTAGTCTTGCCAGCCAGTTTATTCTGGGATCCTCTGTCTCCACTCTCCTAGGCCATGGCTTTCCATGACTTGGGGACATTAGCAGATTCACACTGTTGAATTGTAAGTGGTTTAACTACTGAGCAACCTTCTTTGCCTCTAGTTTAACTTCTTTTGGATGTCTATGTAGTAGTGGCAGAGCTGAACCATACAGTCCTAACGTAGTTGTACAAGGGGCATCCGCATTCGTTTCTGTAATAACTGCATCAGTTTGCATTCCCACAAACAATGTGCAAGTTTCTCTTTCCTCACAACGTTTTTGGGAATAGGCCATTTTAAAATTGTGTGGTAATAGATCAATCACTTCACTTAGAAGTTTCAATTTCTTTGGTAATTAGTGATAATGAGCATTTGAAAAATTATCTACTAGCTATTTACATATTTACCCCTGAGAAATTTCATTTGAAATTTCAATTTCATTGAACCTTATGTTTTCTTATACATGCATACAAACACCCATATATATAACCTATAAATGAGAGCCTTTTGGCTCTTTTTATGAGGAAACCTAATACCCCTTTCACACCTCTAGTCTGGAGAAACTTAATGAAAGCATATAAGATTCATAGACAAGGCATTCTCAAATGTGGTTGAAGGCCAGCTTCCAGCACTTTCTATGAGTTCTTGGCCATATTTCCCAGACTTTTTCAGCTCGACTGCTCTCCTTATCTGGCATATAAGGAAAACAGTCATTCTCACACTGGGTTACTGGGAATAGTAAACAAGACTCTGTACAAGAAGCATTCAGATTAGAATCTATCACATGGTAAGCACTTGACAGACAGCTGAGAAAACCAATTAATGGTTGGCATGACTATTGTATTCACCATCGCCAGTGCTATACCCCTGGTGCTGGCTAACCATCCCAAGAAGGGCTGGTGGGGGAGAGAGATGTTACCTGAATAAAAAATAGCTGTACGATTCTGAAATAGGTATAAACTTCTTTCATGAATACTCATTTTCAATTTTGCACAAGTGGGGGTGTTTTCTTTATCCCATACATGGTATACAAGTGCTGTACCTCTGAGCTACATATGTAGCTATGACTCTCTCTTTTTTTTTTTTTTAAATCTGATACACCCTGAGCTCTTTAGGAGTCTACAGTGAAGGGGCAGATGAGAAGTCATTGAAATTAGGACTCTGCCTTCTGACCATCAGAAGGTATAACCAGACACATTTTCTGGAGAATACAGTTAAAAATTTGGGGGCGGGGGTTAACATGTCAAATGGCATTCAGGAAGCAAGTGACAGGACAGGGAGCAGGGCTTTGGTTTCTTCACATTTGATTAGTCCCTAGTTTTCTCAAAATATACTAGGTATCAACTTTATGGCTATAATAACCATAGGTTTTTGAAAATATGAATAGTGATACATATGCATATTGTATATAATGTGAATTATATATATTTAATGTGAGAGGGTGTTCTTATTAACCAGAGGCAATTTTAACTCCTGGGCTAATAAAGACAGCAGCAGAAAGGATTTCTTTCAATAGAAGTATTCAAACTTCTTTTGGGGAGTTGGAAAATTGTGGGAGTTGAGCAGTTTTCCAATTATTTAGCCCCTGCTGTCCTAGAACTCACTTGTTGACTAGGCAAGTGTGGAGGTCACAGAGATCTCCCTGCCTCTTTCTCCCAAGTGCTGAGACTAAAGACAGGAACCATCAGAGTAAGGTGCATGTTTATTTTCCACCCACCCTGGTTTCTAAGCTTCTAATAATAAAGGGAATTTAACCTCCAATTCATGTAAAAGTATGCATCATTACTGGCTCATTTCTGTTAACAACATTCTTTTATTCTCTGACCCAAACTTGCCAGTGTGCCTTTGGGTCCCAGTCACTGATGAGTAATGTGGTCTCTATTTAACAAGCAAAAGAAATCTAACCCTTCAAGGTTACCTCCCTTCTGAGTCTTCCTCTTCCTGGCAAAAGAGAAATAGGGCACACTCACCTTTCAAAGAAGTGGCCATCGATGGGTGGGAACCACTCTAGCGTCACAGAGTCGGTTGTGTGGCTCACAACCTGGGGGGCAAGGGCTACAGGGGCCGGCTTTTTGGAGGGCTGCCAGCTCTGGTATACCAGGTCCAGGTAACAGTGCATTCTGGAGACTTGATTGGGCGTGAAAGAGTCTGTACAGTCGTCATCTGTTAAGAGTCAGAGAGAGAGAGAAAGAGTGAGTGTGTGTGTGTATGAGAGAGAGAGACACACACACACAAACACACACACACACACACAAAGAGAGAGAGAGAGAGAGAGAGAGAGAGAGAGAGANAGAGAGAGAGAGAGAGAGAGAGAGAGAGAGAGAGAGAGAGAGAGAGAGAGAGAGAGAGAGAGAAGCCTCAAGCTGCACAGGAAGGCATGCAAGAGAAGAATGTAGCTAGAGAACCAACACCCTAGTCTCTCCTTGCCAGCTCAGGACAGCCTCTTCCAGTGCTCAGAAGTTAATGGTCTGTGAACAAATTAGTGCAGTCATCACTCCTGGAGACAGGTGAGAGGAAACAGGAGGAAAGGGAGGGTGGGTAGAACTGGAAAAGTAAGCCTGGAGCTGAGGAGAGGGCTGCTAAGACGTTGCAGCTAAGGACAAGGAAAAGCCATGCTGCTCTTGAGGGACCCTATATATACCCTCTGGTTCCCAAGTCAGCAATGTCTCCAACTCCATTCACTTTCTCTCATTTACTTCTTCACTCCTTCACTTTCTCACTCGCTTGTTTATATGCGCATGAGTTCCCTGTTGTATTCCTTCACATCCATTTCTCCATGCGTTAATCAATCCTGCTTTTCGCTAATGCATTTCATTGAAAATGCTTCTATTGAATGATGAATTCATGAATTCATGTTCAGTACTGAAGCCAGTCCGTAGAAAGATGAAACTTAAAATACATTCCTGCTCTTAAAGAGGGCGTAAGCACTATTCATCTAATGAGCGAGGGTTGTTCTGTGACAACAGGCATGCAAATCATCAGTGGCTTGACAGAGATGGCATGTGGGGAAGGACCACCTAGGAAAGTGGTCAACGAGGTCACTTGGTGGAGGCTGAGAAAGGAAGTGCACTACAAAAGAGGTGACTACACAGCTAGAGGCACAATGTCCCATACAAGGCTCAGGCCAGGCCAGCATTAGACAATGGTTATACACTCCTGGCTGTGGATAGGATGTTGTCTTAGTTGTCTTTCTATTGCTGTGATAAAGACCACGACCAAAAGCAACTTGGGGGAGGAAAGGGATTAATTAGTTTATACTTCTATGTCACTGTCTATTTTAGGGGGAAGTCAGGCCAGGAGCTCATTTGGTAATTGGAGGTAGGAACTGAACCAGAGGCCATGGAGGAAAGCTACTAACTGGCTTGCTCCCCAAGGCTTCCTCCACATTTTTTTTCTTATAAAATTCAGAACCACTTGCTCATTGGAGGCAATGCCTAAAGTGAGCTGGATACTTTTTTCTACATCAATCATTAACCAAGAAAAAAAAATTGTCCATGGATTTGCCTACAGGCCAATCTGATGGAAGCATTTTCTCAACTATGATTTCTTCTGCTCAAATGACCCTAATTAGGGTCAAGTTGGCAAACAAATTGAACCAGCACAGATGAGAGCAAGAGCAAGCATATCTCCTTACTTATATGTGATTGTGTGTCTATAGAACATATGTTTAGCATGTGGTAAGTATGAGCCAGGAATGGTGTGCTAAGTTTTGAACCTTCACCCCTCTCTCCCGACACATGCTATTTTTGGGTACATACTGTCATTTTCTCTTCTTCGCAGAGGTGGGAACGGAGTCTATGTTCAGGCAAGCAACTTTTCCCAGATCACAGGGCTAAGCATATCTGGGACTTGAACTAAAGCTGTGCTTCCAAATGATGCCGGAACTTTTTTTCTAAGCACAAGTGAAATCTAATATGAGTAAAGTCTCCAGCAGGTGGCTCATAAATGGGAGCTGAGCCAGTTCTCCTCCGAGGGGATTGGAAACTCTCTATCAGGTGGTAGATATAACGACCTTCAGTCCTGTTCTCCCCTTCCCAGGGTGTGGACTGCAGGTAGAGTCCAAAGACTTAGTTTCTAAGTTAGAGGTTTGTCTCCTGTTTCTTTCTCCAAAAGTATGATTCAGCTCCCCTGGGAACAGAAAAAAAAGCACTGCTTGGCTTGAATTCCTAGTGCACCACTTCTCAGGGGATTTTCTTGGTCAGGATTACCGCAGCTCGGCCCCAGACAGCGGAGTGTAAGCTCACCAGATCTTACAACTAAATGTGCCCCTGGAATCCAGCAGCATAAACTCACTTCTCCTTATCATACAAACAGAAAATAAGTTTGGGCAGGTGCTGGGCAGCTAGGCATGACCTTGAAAGGGAATGGCCAAGGATGTGGGAGAGTTTATATGCAGAGGTTGGCTTGTATTCCCTTAGTAATTTTTGACTGTCTCGTTTTCAGCACTCTGAAAGAAAATTTTAAGACATTTGGCCAAATCAGAAGAGCCCAGTGTTCCGTGTAATTCCCTAAATACTGTGACTACCTGTTGTCATCTCAAGTCCAGATCTACCATGCAACTCCCTAAATACTGTGACTATCTGTTGCCAGGAGTATATACACCTCGGTCTGATAATGACCAAAACAAAGTATCATTTTTTTTAATCATTGATATGATTCTTACAGTTTGTACTGAAAGCAGTCTTTCAGAGGCAGGCCAAGGGTTTGATGAAGTATGAAGTATGAAGAAGTATGATAAACAAGACACAGAGTCAAGGGAGAGTGTCTTTATGTCCTTGGCACCTCAGTTTCCCATCTGTGGAAACAATGGTGATGAGAGGGTTCACCCCAGAGTAGGGCTGAGCTGGAGCATGGGGATAAGAACCATGTCTACTTGACGGCAAGTATTCTCTGTCTCGTGTTGGAGAGAAGTGGGTGAAAAAAGTACACGTATGTCTGTGTCCATCAGAAACTGAGAAAAGGAGTGTTCAGAAACAAGGTTCAGAGTGTAAATCATGAACTTTCCAATCTGACACTAGCCCACTATGGACTGCACATAGCAATGTTGATGGACAGAGATGAGAAGAATCATTGAATTGGGGCAATAGGGTCCCGCAACGTTATCAGTATGGGAAAAATATTGACACATCTCTTCCTTAGTGGAAGACTGACTGTATATCTGAATACATCCTTAAAACAAAATACTAGTTGATCACTACCAGCCCTCCTAATTATGTATAATAGTTTCCTGATATATAAATTAGGTTCATTTAAACAAACTCAACTATAAAGTGGTAGTAAGGACTGGAATGGGGCACAGTGAACATTTAACAGGGTTAACGAAGATGACAAAATAAGGTATTTTTTCTTTATAAACATCTAATTAATTTTTCTTTAAAAATGTATGTTTTTATTTTATAATTTAAGTAGTAACCATTCCTAGTTTGTCAATAGGAAACTGTTTGAAAAATGGATGTGTAGAAATTAGTAGTGGAACAGAAATACCATTTGAAGATTATTAAGTTGAAAACATCTGTCCCAGGTTGCATCACACTGAGACTTATCTGCTATCAGAATCTTGGGCAACATCCCAAAGGGATTCCATTCATCATAAATGCTCTGTCTCAGTTAGCTCACGCCTAGAGTCAGGCCTACTTGGCTTCCGGCCCCACGTAGTTCCAGTTCTACCATCTGTGGTCCCTTTATCTAGGCCTCCAGGCTCATCTTGTTCCTCCACTCCCATTTCATCTTGAAGTGGAAGAAACACTGAGAACTTCAGCTCTTGGAGAAGCTTCTCGGGCCACCGTGCTATTATTGCTGCAGTGCTCCAGGCTTGCAACCCAAGTCGTGTTGTGAGAGGTGCATTACACGGAGGATCAGGACAGACACTTAGTAACTCTAGCTCCTTTAGGAACCTGGACAATGTACTCACCCTGGCAGCCTCATTTCCACTCACTGCAATAGGAGGGATGGCGACAGTGCCCTCTTCAAAAGCTGACACGAGCATTTAACAAGCTCATTGACATCCACGACATAGGAAAACGGGGGAGTTTTTGTAAAAGCTCGCTGTTTGGGCTCTGTTTTTAAAATCTAACAATAGTCTCAGCAGTAAATGATTATAAAAAATGATACTCACTGTAAAGTTTTTGAAACATATCCAAAATAAACATCAACCTAAGGTCAGTACCTATAAATACATTAGTGTATAATGCATATGTGTGTATACATATGCATATTATGAATATGCATAAAATAAATTTCTACAGTTCTTATCATATATGTGTCTTACACATATCACTGAGGTGTTCTCTACATCAAATAGTTAATAAATTATCAGGTTGCTTTTTATTTGTAAAGCAATATTTATCCTACAAAGGACTGATCTAGATTCCTTACTTGTATGATCATCTCTCTTGTCATTCAGTGTAAAAATGATCATTCTCCATAAGTTGATAAAGTAAATGCAGCTCTGAGAAAAGAAATAATTTGTCTATAATCAAATACTACAATGTAGGCATTTCAGTTTCAGGTTCCTGACATAACATCCCTTTTTGAATGTCACGTGCCTTGGCCATATTCTACATCATGTTCAGTGGTGTCACAGTGTTCTGTCACGGGTGATGTTTTGTATTTCATTTCAATATTGCGTTAACTTCAAGTACATAGATAAACATTTATCTCTTGTTCCTGGCATATAGTAAATACTTAATAAATATTTAGAAAGGGAACATTCTGATTGCTAAATATTTAAACACATCAGTTGGTTTACTTGCTTCAGGTACATTCTTTAGAGATAGGACTGTTTGGCTGAATGCATGTTTGATTATTAGAAGTTCCTGTCACGTAGAAAGTTGCTACCATAACCATGAGGCTGAAAGAAATCCTCGGATCCTATAGTATGTGCCAGGTAATCTTGGAATACCTCCTAAGTACGGCTTGCTATCTTCAAGGGGTTGGGGGTCGGGTTTGCTTCCCATCCATCTGGCAAGAGTTATTAGTTCAGAACAAACACAAGCCTTCGTGCTTCCTACTGAAGTGTGCTGGAACATCAGCTGCCTGTTGCCTGCTAGTTTGGACGACTTGGGACCCTCTTGAACTTCCTCAGAACAGTAAAGTGACTGGTTAAGAACTCAGACTGCAGCGAGAAAGGCTTGGACTTAAGTCCTGCAGTAGTCTTGTTTGATGTCTTTGCATCTGGAAAAGTTTCTTGTGCTATGCAAACTGCATTTTCTGCATCTGAAAACTAGTTACGTTAATTATAGAACTTATCTCTTTGGGATAGTTTGCATTATTTTTTGTATACAGTTTCTTGTACGTCAGAGGAACTCAATTGTTGTTATTCTTCAAAAATCAATATGGTAACCACAAGGATATGTGGTCTTTTTCATTTAAGATAATCAAATTATTTTAAGGGTAACATTTCAGGCACTCAGTTGCACCAACTATATTTAAAGTGATCAGTAGCCACATATAGTTATCAGCTATTATACTGAAAAACACACACACAAGCTGTGCCCTCTTGGCAAGCAGTTCTGCTTGAGAAATGAGCACCCAGCAAGGAGAAGCAGCTGGAAGAAGTCAGCTTGGCAATGACTCTGCCCTCTGTTCTGGAAGAAGGAGCCCCGTGCATCCCTTCCTTCAGCTCTGAGAGCCGCATTCTGTTCTGCATTTTGAATTCCATCCAACAGCTTTTGTCACCCCATCTATCAGAGATCCTAAAGAAAACAAACATTTCCAAGCTCGTGCTTGCCTTGAATATGCTTTTGTGGGTGTAAGTTTGTTATCGGAGCTTAGTGAATTAGTTCTGCTGTTAACGGGTCACTGGACTGAGGAGCTCCTTTAGGGACAACAATACTAAATTAATCACCCTTTGGATCTCCTCAAAGGGAAACCAAAAAGGAGACTTAGCTTCTGGGGATCTGGTAACCGGTGGAAGCTTCTAGTTCCAAAGGAGCAGGCAAACTTCCAATGTCTTATTAGTGTTTACTTCCCATGTGTGCTGAGTTGGCCGAAGAAAGGTGCTACAGAGATGGTCTGTCTGAGAGCACAGGGCACCACATGTGGAGAGCCAGGGTGCTTGGCAATGGGAGCACATTGGGGATCTGTTTTTGAGGAAATACCCAACATAGTGGCTGTTTTTAGAACCAAACTTAAGGACACTTTATGGGTCCTGAGGTGGGTCACCCACTTTCCAAGCGACATCACTTTTAGGCTGTGTGAGACCAACACTAGAAAGCCCCAGCAGTAAGCAGCCTAAATGGGAAAGAGGAAGGACCATTGGGATCATCAAATATTTTGCCTTTTGCCAGCCAAACCCCTTTTCAGTTACAACACTCATCAAAACTCTAACAGAAATATAATAGCTGGACTAGGCCTTTCCTGGTTCAGTGCTGAATTAGGACCTTCAGCCTTCCTCTCACCTCAAAGCATCTCCATCCTACTACAAGAAGCAGAATGAACAGGCCATTCAGAGTATTCAATTCCTCCACCTAACTGTCAACTAGGTCTCTTTGAAAGAATAGCATAAGACAGAAAGGGAAAGAATAGTTGATATCCAATGCATCATCAGAAGGAAATGACCACAGTAAGCCTCAGTATTGTCATCTGAAAAATGGGATGGCTCCTGCTTCATAGATGTGCTGTGAGAATTGAATAAGAGGAAACATATTGAAATCTTTTACAGAATATAAATGGCTATACAGAAGGAAATACTATTACTAACAGAAACAATTTTATGTACCTCAGAGAAGAAACTACCACTGCTAAACTATTACAGGAAAAGGGAGAGTTTATTCATTTTCTTGTTATACAAAAAAGATAATCTCTTTATTTGCTTGCTTTAGTGGGAAAAGAGCTTAGGGGTTATAGTGGAATTCAGTACCGGCCTACTGTGTGTAGTTGTGGACAGTTGATCACAGGGAAGCATACTCCAAGCTGCGACCATCCCAAGGAAGGACTGTCTTGTTCTAATTTGTCAAAGCTGTTAAAGTGACTCTACATGAACTTGATGTAGCCTGAGCTGACAGGAAGTACAGGACATCCTGGGACCTAGATCACAAGTTCTTAATACTGCTTCTAATGGTGTCTAAAGGGCTGTAGGAAGTTAAAAGCCATCAGAGAAGATACCATACCCAATACTATGTGATAATTTGGGTTCTTAAAAAAGAATAAATTATTTTTCTCCAGCCCCCAATAGTGAATAAACATAAGAAAATTGTATGTTTGTATGGACTGTAGTTAAATGGAAAGCTTTAACAATACGAGGGTGGAAGAATAGAGCTGCAAGACTATGGGGAATCTTATGGATCAAGGTGAAAGATTTGGGTTTTCTTTTAAAGTAGAGGTAGAGTGACCCAGAACATCAGACCCCTGTGGTTCTTCTACCTGGATATATGGACTTCTGTCCAAGCCATGTGGCACACATTCATGAGGAATGCCTTTCCTCTACTCCAGAAATGCTAGCGGATGCAATGCTATTCTGATTACTGGGACGAAACTCCTCCATCTTAGGAAAATCAGCAGCTTGTTTAAGGCTACCCTGAGGCAGGACTAGAGGCCAAGTTTGACATGCAGTGCTGTGTCAAGAGTGGGCTAAAATCAAGGATGTGGAGGGCCCTACCTGCATAGCTCATGAAGTTGTTGTAAGGAGTGTTGAAGAAGCTATGAAAGCCACAAGTGTCATTCCCTGGTCCAGGGTCTCCACAAAACTTGTGTTTGGGGGCTGGGTTGGTGTCATTGCAGAGGTCTCCAGTTTCAAATGAGGGCTCTGTCTCCATGCAGGGATCACTGCAGGACTGGATTTCTGAGATGCCACGGAAGATGTGATAGAGGCCCAGGCTGTGCCCAATCTCATGGATCATGGTGTGGGTGTGTCCAGGAATGCCATAGAAAGATGGGTTCAAGACAATGCCGCCTGCAAGGGGAAAACCAGAGCATTAGGCAACAATCTGCTTCAGGCTAGAAGAGTATCTAGGTCAATCAGAAACAAAAGGATGATACTTAAAATGACAGCCTTCTTTACGACCCTACTGCCCAACAATGTCACAACTCTGCTGCAAGTCACTGGTTACCAAAACTGGGAGGAGTGCCATGAATCACTTTGTATCATGTTTTAACAGAGAACACTTATGCCTAGTGAGGAATAGCATTATTCTAAAGGGATGCTGAGGTACTGAAAACACACTATTCCAAGTAAAAAATTTTGATCTCTGCCCTGATCTGATGTTGTTCTGCAAACTGTTCCGTAGATAGAAACATACACTCTGCTTTACAGCCATTGTAAATGCTCCTATACAGATGCAACCCTCAGACAGGTCCACACTCCTCAACCCTGGCTTTTATTGTGCCTTTATTAAGTCTGTGACACACCACAACTTAGTTCCCATCTTTGAATCTCATGCCTTTATCTCTGATGCTGTAAAAACAAGACCACTAAGGAAAGCTGGCACTGGGTTGTGCTCTGTCAAAGGATTGCTCCTAATGCCACCTGACGTTTATCGAGCATCTTATGTGTCCTCTAATGCTGTGCTGAGTCTAAGGTGTATGGCTTCTCTTACCATATCACAACTCAAACAGAACAACACTCATCCATAGAAAGCCAGAGTGACCTGCCTGTGATTAAGAGAAATATGGAGATAGAATAAAATCAGTGTTCTTGGGTTCTAAAGTCAGGGCTCGTATTCTCTTTCCCAGTGTTAATGACTATCACAGATACTAGAATTAAGTTTTTATTGTCCTGGTTAAGCTTTATTGTCAACTGTAAAAAGTGAAGAGTCACCTGAAAGGAGAAGCCTCAAGGGAGGCATTTCCTGGATGAGGCTGGTCTTAGGTATGTCTCTGAGGGTTTGTCTTAACTATTTTTTATGTTAGAAGGCTCACCCCACTGATGGTGCAATGTTCCACTAGAAGGCTGGCCTGGGCTGTGTAAAAGCTGTGCACGAACTAGTGAGAGAGCCGGTCAGAGAGCAAGCCACAGGCCTCCGTGCTTCCTGCCTCCTGGTTCCTGCTCTGACTTCCCTTGAGGATGGACTGTGACCTGGAAGTGTAAGCTAAATCAACCCTTTCTTCCTCAGTTGGTTTTGGTCTGAGTGTGCTATCACATCAACAAAATGAAATTGGAACACTGGCTAATATGTTGAATATTTGATGAGTGGTAACACATCTAGAAAAGGTTGTGAGACCCAGCTAATTACTTCTAAGCAGGTTGCATAACCCCTGGAAGACATCAAACAGCTATTTATTGTCTTCCTGCATGAGAACAAAAATTATACAAACTATGAACCTAGCAGAAATAAGTTTCAGGCTCTAACTCAGACCTGGGGCAACACTATCTGCATTTTAATAAGAGCCCTAAATGCCTTATCTGCCTGCTCTGGATTGAGATATTGATGGCTGTAACTCATATCTCAAAGACGGAAAATCACCTAGTTTGTAGAGACAGAACGAACCTCAGTAGAAGCAATGGATAGTACTTGCTCCATATGAATCTTAGACACTGGAATGAGACACACAAGCTGTGTGTCTAGACAAAGATTTATGCTTTTAAACACTGGAAGTGGTCAAGAGAAGGTTAAAATTCAGGTATGAGAGTCTTGTAAGCGGAGACATTGAAGTGTGAAGACCTGTCTTATGGCGGAAAGACAGGACTGGAGTACCTTGTAGAGCTGGAATGGCATGTTTCGAGCAGACATGATGCAAGTGGACTGAATTGCTTGATCTGTCCTCAGTATCATGGAGTCTATCAATTCGGCAATGCTTAGAGGCTTCTAACACAAAGATAAAGCGAACATGTGTGTGTGTGTGTGTGTGTGTTTGTGTGTGTGGTGAGAAGGGAAGGCAGAGGCAGGAGAAGAAGCAAAATTGAGACAGGAAATCTTTCTGAATTATTTTCTGTCAATCATAATCTGAAACATAATCCCATCCAAGGCTTTTTCTAGGGTTAATAAAGTAACATCAGGAAAGGTGGGTTAAAAACTATGGTTCTAATAAATTGAGTTTGATTGAGGCTACTATCCAGGAGTTGCTTATAAGCAGCCACTTTCAGGATGGCAAGCTGGCAGCTTGCAGGTCCGTGGCCCTTATGCTTATGAGAAGCTGGATTTGTTTCTCTAGGGAGTTTCTCTAGGAAGCTCTAAACTAAGTAACTACAACAGTGTTAATGACCCATGATCTTTCCAGAAAGTCCTGCAACGGGCAGGACCAGCCTAGGGATGCTGATAAGATTAATGTCCAGCTTGGCTCTGTTCATTCTACCCCAGTTGACCCTTTTCTACAGAATGACGGCACTTGACCCCAAGTGCTATTTCATTACTTCTCTTAAAAGGTGAAATAGCTTGAGCCTGACATCATTCTGAAATACTATAACATGCTATGGATTTACAGCCTCCTCCCCTATTCCTGGCCCTGATCCAGGCTCTGACATTCATGAAACCATCAGGAGTATTTTTCTCTAATGTTAGATGCCTTCTGTTCAGCCCTCCCCAGATACAGATCGGGCACCTTCAGTTAGCTTTTGTTTTCAATTGGAGCAAATCTCACAGTTTAGAAGGACCCTGGGCAGTCATCTAGTTAATCTGCCTCTTCAAAATTTTAAGAAACCAACCTAAGAAAGGAATCTTGCCTAGGGTTATCCTGCTAAGGAGAAGGAAAACTATGCCTTTGACTCTAGTCTAATCACTTCCCAAGACATCCTAAACATAAACAAGTGATAAGGGCAAATCATTTCAAGTTTGTATCATTTGTACAATCTCTCCTGCTCAGCACCTCTTTGTATCTGAATGTCTGACTATACTCCTACCACATATCCCTGATCTTGGGGTTTCCAGATCTAAGTACTATTGACATTTTAGAGCACCTGATTCTTTGTTGAAGCCACTGTAGAGCATGTAGATACATGATTACTGCTTACCAGATGCCTGCATATGTAATGATAAAACTGATAAGAGTCTCTTAGGGATCAGACTTGCCTCATTTGAGAATATGAATATATATAATTTAGGGGAATGAAGTGCCTCCCTCCCCCTTATCCCTCTTGTTCTCTCTAACACACATGCGCACACACATACATGTACACACACATTAGGTTCATCCCCCTAAAAGTGCTAGAGAACTAAGCCCATGATTTGATTAAGCACAGCTTTCTACAGCTGAAGTTATAGAATTCTTCATCTTCCAAATACCGTAGATTAAGAATAGCTACTAGACTCTGGGTTTACTACAGGGTGACCTTGCTGGCCCCAAGCTGCCTCCAGCACTGCCAGCTTGCTGAGTATTGAAATTCTCCAACCATGACTCTCACTGAGTCATCAGAACTCATTGTTACAAATGAGGAGAGCATTTTATTGAGGGAAAACAGTTAAACACCCTGTACTGCCTTGTTCAATGGAATATTAGATGGCTATTAGAAAACGCTCATCTTTAGTGAAATGTAAGCAACCTAGAAGGATGCCTTTCTTTGTGATTAGGTGAAAAAATGTAAGCTAGGAAATAATTTTAAAACTCCTGTATGTGGAAACATGTAGATAGCCTAGAGTATCAAACGAAAAGGAGACTTGAAAATTGTGCCTATACTACAGTTTCAAGCCAATACAAGCAAATATTGCCTCTGTAGATATTTATGTGCACTGGACAAGAATATGTGGGAAAACCTCAAACACTGTAATTTTTATTATTTATAATCCCTGGTTCAGAAATGATTGATATTTCTGACTTGCAGTGATTAGTCCGCACAAACAAAATACTCATGTGTTATGAGTATGCAAACTTGAGATGACAGACAGCTCCCTGTGTTGCTAGTGGACAGAACATAGATGAAGTCCCTATATGATCTGTTTCTGTTGCTTCCTTTGTGTCTTTTAGGACTGTCTTAACCCACATGTACCAGGATAATATGGTCAGCAGGCCAAGAAATATGCATGGATTAGGAAAAGGAGGTCCAAGAAGAATTCAGTTTCTGGACGATGAGAAGCTTGTGCTGCGAGGTTGTCTTACTGATGTGCATGACTTTGGATATATGCTGCTTGCTCTCTGGCTCTGAGTTTTCTCATCAGGAAAGCAAGTTCCTCAGAGTATTGCCAAGTCATCAAAAGCAGGGTCAACTATGCCAGCTTTCTGTGAGTTAGACAAGTAAATGAGTGACTCCCATTGCTCCTGCTGCCTGCACCATTATGGTTATGCTGAAGTCTTCCTCACAGTAGGATCCATACTGACTGGCTCTGAGTTACTTCCAAAGGAGCATCTAAGACTCACCCAAGTGCATTAGGGCCTCCTTGTCCCATGGCCAAGTTGCCACTCCCGCCAACTCCTCCTCTGAAGAGTTTGCAAAGAAAATATTGAGATGTGTTGATCCATCCAATCTAAGAATGTTCTTTAGCTCATTAACATCCAAGTAGGCTCTGAAATACAAAAGTAACCTTGACTGTTACCACTGTCCCACAAAGGTAGTATTCAAACAGTAGGATCTCCCCCACATGATCAGGAGCTCTTACACTGGACACAGTAGCTAAGTTCTTTATAAGCACCACATCATCGTGCTTCTCTGAAAATGTTGTACTATCCCATTTTATTGAAAGGAAAACACATTAAGTTTATCTATGAAGAGCTGAGCTTAGTTTTGAATCTCTATGCATTGAGAACTAATGCTCATATTTCTAAGGACGGTGTTATTTTGACTAAGAAGAGGACCATGTAATAGAAGCCTAGGATAAGCACACAGAGCCTGTGTGAGATAACATGTACTTTGCTCTTGGCTTCTCTGTCTCAGTCAATCACTATGGGCCTTGGTCATCTTCTTGGAAAATGTGGATCTGTCATAGGAGGTGTTTATCATTTCTAAATTATTCTTGTAAGGAGGTACCATGGCATTTTTAAGGATGAGAAATGTGTAGCTCAATGTTTTTAAATAGGTCACCCAAAGATGCAGCATTGGGATTCAAGGTTAATGCTAAATAGCTTGGAAGTATATTCTCTTTTCACTGAGGCATCATGCTGACACCCATCAACCATTCTGCATTCTGTAACACTCTATTTCGTTCTATAGACTATATACATTGTGCCTGGTGTTGCTGTCATTGAGGTCGTCGTGCCTTAGTAATAAATGAACTACTCACGCCACAGTAGTAAGTTATCCAAGATAGGGAGGAATTTGTTGGTAAGGGAACCAGGAAATAAAAGAGAGAGGAGAGAGAAAGAAAGAGAAAGAGTAAGAAAGCACAACAAAAAAGTGAGAGTGAGGGGAGATGGAGAACAAGGGAGAGAGACGAAGAGCGAGAGAGAGGGGCCTTGAAACAGGAGACATGTATTCTATGTGCTCAAGAAGTAAGAAACTCCCCTTGGGAAAACTTCCTCACTACAGCAGAAGCACTATGCATGAGAGGCTGCCTCTGCTCTGCTCAGGTGACCCAAGGCATCTTATTCTGTGCTCATTTCAATGCTACCCTCTCAGGAGTCCCATTTCCAGCCTGCTTTTTAGGAATTCTTGAGAGTAGCTGACAATCATTGGTGTGTGAGGATAGAGATGTGCTCATGTTTTTGTGTTTTCATCCCATATACCATATTCTTAAGGCAGTTGAGTATGGAGAAGGTGTCTTGTTCATCTCTTGGTATCTAGCTTTCAGCTGAGGGTTGTGTATCTAGTGAGACCTCAGTGAAAACTGATAGAGCTAAATTTAAATCGGTCAATGCAGAAGCCAAAATACCTTGGTCCTGGTCTCAGAGTCAGTGTCTGCTGACTCAGAGGCTGCTTTGGTCTCATCTCTACTCCAGGATGAAATAGGATATATATGACATCTACTGTACTGTGGCCACTCCCATCATATGTCTCTCTGAGGTCAAATGTCCCTGTGATCTTCAATTTGATGACTTGTCGGAAGAAAAGATTACTGGCATAGGAAACACAGGCTCATAGTGGCTAATTCCAGGGATAACATTATCAGCTAAAATACTGACTCAAAATCTTCTCTTTCTCTAGGAACCCACATCCGGCTTCTTCTGCTAGAGGCTTCATGAGGAGTTCTAATAACTCTGCCATCTAAGGTTGGAATGAAGACTGAAATCCAACACTTATTGAGTACTTGCTGTATTCCAGCATGCCAGTTGGAGTGCACATGTTTCATTTCTGGTACTTCAGTGTGTAGCCTGGGTAAGATTAATTGCTCCCAAGCCACAGCTCCAGGCTTGAATCCAGATCTCCTTAATATCCAGGGGCTGTGAGCAAGCTGCTTACCTTCCTTTGTTCAAGTTTCTTTATCCAGAGAATAAGAACAATGATGGAACCCCAGTCCTAGAGCTCTTGGACTAGGATAATGGAAGTGGAAATGAGTCTGGGTGATGTTGAGCATACAGAGAGCCCTAGCAAAGATTTAGCAGTTGTCATGTATCCTCACCCTACAGATGAAGGAACAGGGGTGCAAAGGTTACAGGACTAGGGACAAGGCCGAGCGCAATTCTATGCATGTCTAACAGTTCCTACCCGCCCTCTCTTTTAAGTTGACCCCGTCCCATGGGGGATAGAAAAACAACCCAGAGAGGAGCACGAAAATGCAAAGGAGCCTAGAGTGTGCTTGGAGCAACCGTTTCCACATTTTTTTCTAACTGATTTACCCATTTTCTTCAAATGATCTCCCAGACATAGAAAACACATTTTATTAGAGAAAGCCACCTCTGGCCCTATACTCTGAGATGAAAACGTTTCATGAGAAAAAGATACAGGGGAAAGGAAGATATTTTAATTGGTTGTTTGTTCAGTGGTAATTGCAGAGGCAATTTTTCAAGAGGTGGTATTCATCCTAGCCCAAAGCAGAAATGTGGGTTGTTGGATCTTCTTTCTGGCTCCTATGTGGGGTTTTCTCATTCTTTGGGAAGGCTCCATCTCCCAAAACGTCCACGGCAACTAGCCAGGCTACTGGTCCCACTGGCCTCTTTCCTCCCTGTCTCTCTTGTTGCGGGGAATCCACCCAAAGAAAAAAGCAGCTTTGTTAATAAAAGCTCTCCCTCTGTCAACTGAGGTCTTCCAGCAATGCTAAGCTGGGTGTCTCCCAAAGACATCATGGGGAAACCTTTGAAGACAGAAGTCTGTGTGGGTCTTTATTATTTCCATCACCTTATCTCTTAAGATGATATTGTGGTTTTCATCTCTCACCTTAAGCAGTAGATGGAAGAGAATGTAGCAGAGGCAGAAAACTTAGAAGAAAGAGCAGTCTAGGTATATTTATTTAATCCAAATGAAAGAAAATTAGTTGATAAGTCCCCTTGACTTTTTGTTTTGAAGCTATAGAAAAACTAGCAATTAGAGTTTGGATATGAAATGCCCCGAGGCTCTGGTGTTAACACTCGATCTTCCGTTGGTAGCACTATTTGGGAATTTTTGAAACTCAAGGAGACTAGTTGAACTAGGTTACTTGAAGGTTATACCTAGTCTTGAGTCCTTCTCTCTCTCTCTCTCTCTCTCTCTCTCTCTCTCTCTCTCTCTCTCTCTCTCTCTCTCTCTCTCTCTCCTTCCTGTTTTCCATAAGCTAAATAACATTTCTAGCACCTGTCCACACTGCCTGATGCTTTGCCTAAGCAGTGGGAGGCCTAGTAACATAGATTCAATTCTCTAACACTATGCGCTACAAAGACTTTTTTTTGCCCATGAGCTGTTTCGGTCATGTATACTGGTGATAGTGATAACAAAAGCAGCCAACACATTAGCCTTGTATATATATTACAAATCTGTGAAATTTATTTAAAAAATAACTTATGCCTCCTAGAAAGATCAATTGAACGCTAAGCAATGTTTATTAACTTGCATGAGGATATCACACCGAGATAAACAGAGAGACTTAAGTCTGGGAAGAAATTGCTTCAACTTTCTGAGTTCCTAGTTCTGAGGCAGATCAGGACCACACTAGCACACACCCAGACAGTAGAGCTCCTCTCTTTTCCTAGCCTCCAACTTTCCCCTTCCTGAAGTAAATGATGCTACCAGTTCCCTTTTGCATAATACTCTCAGTCTCAGCTTCCAGAGTCTGTTCCCCCATTGTGTAAACGTCTTTTTCAGTTTGCAGCCTCAACCATACAGGACCTCATGGTTTCCTTACCCAGAGCCCCCTGCGTGTTTTCTAGCTGCTCCTTGAGTATTTGTTAGCTTCTGTCTCACAACATCGCTCCTGAATTCTAATCACATAAAATCTTCTTTCCTTGGGAAGTCTGCTACTCCATCTTGATCACTTCCAATTGAATTTCAGAGATCAGAGAAACCACCACTCATGAGTGTTGAGCACGCTAGCAACCCAGTGGGTGATATACCTAGGTCCATGTACCCACACACTCATGGGGCACTATACTAAACCCACAAGGCACTTATTGGTTAATGTTGGCTACCCGGACTGCGTTAGTTACTGTTGTGACCAACAGTCTAAGTTCATCATTACCAGTAGTTGAAAATGAGGATACTGGTCTAATTTTTATTTCTAATCTTTAGCATTCTCTTTTGAGTTTTACTCATACTGTGAGCACCAATCTCATTCATTAGACCGAGGATTCAAATAGTTATGTCCCAAATCATGATTTTCGTGGCTCTTGAAAACTTTCTCAAAAACCCACAGGGAGATAATCACTCATTTGAAGTTATTGGGCACTTGTCTTTTGAATCAGATAGCATCAAACCTGAGTGACCAAGAATAAGCCCTAAGGAAGTGAGATGATTTGCCTGTGCTCACATCTCACCAAGAAATAGAAGGACCAAGCCATGGATCTGGCTTTCCTGGCTTATGTACATCTGATCTTGATTTCAGCACCTTTCTGTTGGTGAGTGATGACACCTCTTCCTTCGGGTAGAAACTATTTTCTTCAACTGTGTATAGTTTACCATGCTAGGCATGGTAGTCCTACAGCTTCCTAATCTGGATACCTCCATGTAGATGTTGCATGGATATTCAGCCGCATCTCATCTCACTGCACACTACCTGCAGCCTGCTCTGTAGCTTAAGGTCTGTGTCTGGCCAATGGGCTAGTGAACTAGATTGCTGCTGTCCAGCTTACAGCCTACTAAAAACTAAATGCACAAGAAGTAGCCATGTATTTCAAAGGAAAATGATACGGAATCTTTGCATTTAAGAAATGCTTTCTGGAACAAGTTGAGAACCTTATAGTTTTGATTGCAAACATTTTCATAACCTTACATTACACAAAATGAGAGCAAGGCAGAAAATACTTGAAGTGTTCTCAAGCATTTTTGACCACAATCACAAGTGGCCCCCACTCCTGCCACATCCCCTGTCTTTGCCAAAACCCCACTAATAACACAAGCAACCAAGTTTTGGAAATGGTAATCTATACTACAATGCCCCTGTTAAGATTCAGTCCCCTCCCGAGCTATTTCTCAGCAGTGCTGCCTGTGTTTCTTTTCCTCCTG